GAGAGAGAGAGAGAGAGAGAGGGAGGGAGAGAGAGAGCATTTGTTTAATGTCTGTTCAAAGTTACAACAGCATAGGAAAAAAATGACTTATCCCTATGGTCATGCAATTAAAATTCAAATGCTTGGCAACTGGCATGTACTTACGACTGCTTTTCACACTTACGTTGCAGCATCCCCGTGGTCTTGCGATCAAAATTCAGGTGCTTGGCAGCTGACTCATATTTATGACGAACGCAGCATCCCAGGTGGTTATGTGGTCCCCTTTTGCGGCCTTCCGACAGGCAGCATCAACGGGGAAGCAAGATTCACTTAACAACCATATTTCTAACTTAACGACTGCAGGGATTCACTTGAGAATGACGGCAAGAAAGGTCGTACAGTGGAGCCAAATTCACTCCACAGCTTGTCTCGCTTAGCCATGGAAATTTGGGGGCAGAACTGTGGCCGTAACTTGAGGACTACCTGTAGATTGATTGCCGTGTGGGGTTGCGGGGGGAGGAAGTGTCCATCCTTGGCCAGGGCTTGCTAGTTAAGCCCGTGCTTTATAATCAGAGCAATCTTTTCCCATTATTTTTTTTCTTCACAATTTCCAACTGAAGGCAAAGTGGAAAGAAAAAAAGAAGAGAGTCGGGAAACAAATGATTCAAAAACGCAATGCCCCCAAAACCTGACTCAACAGTTCCCTCGGTGGATTGGGACATATCCGTGGTTCACCAGAGAACAACTGGAGCGCAGAAGGAAGTCTGAAATTCAACTACTGACACTTCTGGACTGAAAAAAAAAAAAGATCTCAGGTCTGAAAAAAAGATCTCAGGGCCAGGATCCGCTCAGGAAGAAGAAGTAATCCACCGGCAGGGGGGAAAGAATACCGAACTAAGTGGGCTGGATCGGAAGGAGATGCAGATAGTGAGATCGATGAAGTCAATGGAAGAGCCTTCCGAAGTTGTGGGTGTTCCACCACGGTAAGTTTTCAGGAAAAATGTTGGCACAACCATTTCTCCGGGAAGAAATAAGGGACCCCTGCCTTGGGCAGGGGGGTTGGACTAGAAGACCTTTCCAAGTCCCCTTCCATCCCTAGGATTTTGATTCTGCTTTTACAATCTTCCTTGTCACGGCTGTTGAATGGATCACTGCAAATGGTTAAGTCGGTGACACGTTGGTTAGGGAGGTGAATCTGGTTTCCCCCGTTTGCTTGGCTTGTCAGAAGGCCCCAAAAGGTGACCCCCCAGGACACTCAACCGTCATAAATATGAATCGGCTGCCAAGGGCCTGAATTTTGACCACATGATCGTGAGGATGCCGCACAGTCGTAAGTGTGAAAAAAGATCGTAAACTCGCTTTTTTTCAGGGCCATTGTAGCTTTGAGTGGTCACTAAACGAACTACTTGTATTTAGAGAACGGGAATCCAGTCTCTTTATATACCAGGGATCTCCACACTTGGCCAACTTTAAGACTTGTGGACTTCAAACTCCCAGAATTCTCCAGCCAGCAGAGCTTATTCTCTTGTGATCCCTTCCTCTGTAATCTCTCTCCACTTTAGGAGATTAAGAGAGAGAAAAAAGCAGGCACAGCTGGCTGGAGAATTCTGGGAGTTGAAGTCCACAAGTCTTAAAGTGGCCAAGGTTGGAGACTTCTAGTGTAGGGTCTCCTGCTTGAGCAAGGGGTTAGACTAGAAGACCTCCAAGGTCCCTTCTAACCCCATGGCTCTATGTTCTTATGTTCTATGTCCAACCCCTTGCTCAAGCAAGAGACCTTATACCAGGGATCTCCACACTTGGCCAACTTTAAGACTGGTGGCCTTCAACTCCCAGAATTCTCCAGCACCAGCAGAGCTTACTCTCTTGCAATCCTCTTCCTCTGCAATCTCTCTCCAGTTGAGGAGATTAAGAGAGAGAAAAAGCAGGCACAGCTGGCTGGGGAATTCTGGGAGTTGAAGTCCACGAGTCTTAAAGTGGCCAAGTTTTAGGACCACAATTTATCCACACCAGGGTTTTGTACCTCTGTCCTGCCCCCCCTCTTTCGCCTCTTTTAAAGGACTACAAAGCCCTTAACGTTGCAACCTTTCCTCACAAGGAAGCCATGCTCAGTTGACCCTTCTCCCAATCTTTCCCAGCTCTGCTGTTGTGCGTCCTTCTTGAGGTACGGCAAGCAGAATTGTAAATGCACCCGCCTTACATGGTTGTTGTTGTCGTGGGGAAGAGGAGGAGGAAGGAGACGGGAGGGATATGCTGGCTACCTTGAAATATTTGTAAAAACATACCGAAGACGGGATGCAAATAAAGAAATGTGGGTATAGTTTACAGCACCTTTTTCGTGTGGGTGTTGATAAAAATAGGATCGCCAAGATCCGGTGACAGAGCGGGCACAAGAAGAAGAAGAAGAATTTAAAGAAACAACCTGGAGGCAAGTTTACCCTGGTATAATTAGCACCATTTTGAAAAGCCAGAAAACCAGCCTGATATTTCCAACTGGTGCCCAAAGAGACAGGGCTGCCCCCCTTGGCATCACTCCAACCCCTGGGTTTTGCAAGATTTAGGTAACTCTGCAAGAAAAAAAAAGTTCTGGAAGTTCTTTCCAGTTCTTATGCAGAGCAGAGGGATCCAATCTTGGCAACTTTGAAGACTTGTGGACGTCGACTCCCCAAATTCCCCAGCCAGCCTCTGGGAATTCTGGGAGTTGAAATCCGCAAGTCTTCAAAGTTGCCAAGAATGGACACCCCTGATGGAGAGCCCTGGCTTTCTTCCTTTGGGTGGGAAAGGTGTTTTCTCTCCCTCGCCCCCTTGTTCATTTCCCTTAAGTTTCCTTGGGAAGGAATCTTCCCCGTTTCGCAGAGAGAAAGAAGAGAGAGAGAGAGACAGAAGCCACCTGTTGACGTCGCCCCGTTTCCCCTAGAAGCAAGGTAGGATTAAAAACCACATTATTTTAACCCAAGGAAGAATTCCTCACCTGTTCAGAGATGGGGGATGTCAAACTCAGGGGAAGCAAGATGAGAACAGAGCGAGAGGCAGAGAACGGTGGGGAAAAAGACAGAAGTAACGGCCACCCTCTCGGTCAAGAATGTAAGGAGGTTGCCAGTTAACAAGTCGAGCGTGCAGCCTGTGACAACTGGCACTTCTGTGCTTCTCCAAACTGCTTCCTCTTTTAAACAGAAGGAAATGATGTTTTGAAATTCCCCAGAAGAGACACGATGAGTGTTGAGGTCCAGTAACTGGTTGGTGCAAGGAAGTGAAGAACGGTAGCTCAAAGCCTGGACGTTTCCTATTTCCCACACTTCTGATTCTCATGATGAGATCGAGCAAGGGAGGTGAGATTTTGGGGGGCTCCAGAGAAGGGAAAGGAAGGGGTACCCCTCTCCTCTGCATGTATAGCTCTAGAATCCTGGAAGCTTAGACATTCATTCATGCATACGTGAGAAAGAAACGCAAACATCTTTCCATCGTAAATGTGAAGGCTGTGAGGTCCTCGGTGCTTTCTGAGGTGGGTAGTTTTGTGGCAGACCTTTCATTGCCAAACTAGGGAACGTCATCAGTGTGGTGATGTTACTTAGTTTGGTAATGAAACGTCTGCAAGAAAACTACCCACCTCAGAAAGCACCGAGGACCCCACAGTTTAACCCTGAGCTGCAAATATTCTCTTTCAACCCAAAAGTGCTTTTTTTCAGGAGGCAATTGGACTTGTTTTTTTCTTTGAAGTCGTTTCGCTTCTCATCCAAGAAGCTTCTTTGGCTCTGAGTGGATTGTAGGGAATGGAAGGATTTCTATTCCTTGCAGGTAGCTGGTCATTTGCATCCTTTTAGAGAGCTGTTGAGGCCACTTGGAGGTTTATCTATGACCTCAGGATCACCTGAGTCGTGCAAATGATTCCTGTAGTCTGCAATTGTTTTGGAAATCCATTCATACTTCCACACCATTTGAAGCCTTCTTGGATGAGAAGCGAAATGTCTTCAAAGAAAAAAACAAGAAAGTTTAGTTGCCTTTTGAAAAAGCATTTTGGGGACAACCCTGACCTGAATGACTGAGAATCTCCATATTTTAATTCTCTCCTAACGTTAAGACTGTCCGAAGATGTTTTTAGCACTGGTTTGAATATTACCGCTTAATGTTGCATTGTTCCGTGAGATTACCAGGTGTCCCTGTTCATCTCCCAGGGATAGAAACCAACTCACCTGGATGGTCTTCAAGAGGAAAAAGGTCAACCATCTTATTGTCACTTTCAGGTAAACGGAGGAAAAGTGTTTTGCCGGCGGCGTTCCCATTTCTAGCAACGATGAATGACTGAAACAGGTAAAAAATGGAGACAGCAGGGTTGCTGGAAAATCACACCCCAAAGCCAAACCATCACCACCTCCTAAATACCCATTTCTCTCACCCTTTCGGTAGGATTTATAATTATTAATTTTTTATGCAACCCATCTCCCTGTGACAGCCACTCTGAGAGGCTTAAAGGAAAAGGTTCCCCTCCTTGCACATCCGTGCCAGTCCTTTCCGGCTCTAGGGGGCACTGCTCATCTCCGTTACAAAGCCGAGGAGCCAGCGCTGTCCGAAGACGCCTCCGTGGTCACGTGGCCAGCATGAGTGAAGGCCGAAGGCGCATGGAACGCTTGTTCCCTTCCCACCAAAAGGGTCCCTATTTTCCTCCTTGCATTTTTACATGTCTTCGAACTGCTAGGTTGGCAGAAGCTGGGACAAGGAATGGGAGCTCACTCCGTTAGGTGGTGCTAGGGATTCGAACCGCCGACCTTTCTGATTGACAAGCTCAGCGTCTTAGCACTGAGCCACCGCGTCCCTCTGGGAGGCTTACAATATAATAAAAAAAGGTAATAAGTGATTAAAATTAAGAGGATTAAACGGGAAACTAAAAAAAACAAAAACAAAAGGATGGGTGACATGGAGATATTATCTTCTCTATACCCCGTCTGCTGGCCTAGGGTGCCCCTATCAGGGTGCCAGGCCAGCCAGCGGAACCAGATTAAAGGCTCTTCTGCAATTGGCCCAATCTCAACGAAACTGAACAGATCAGTTTTGCAGGAAAGAAACCCTGAGCAAATTTCTTTAAAAATAATTAGTTAGTCACCCCTGGTTGGTGTGACGAGAGCAGCCTCTTGATTTGCTCTGGCTGGACATCCATAAGCTCCCAAATGCCCCGTGTGGCCGAGAGCCTGTCCAGAAGTGGGATACGACTGCTGGGTTTTCGCCCCACCGTTTCCTGCGACCTACGAAAGAGAAGACACAAACAAAAGAGACCAACTGATTTTGCGTTGCCAAAAACCCTCCAGTCTCGTATGCAAACTTTAATATAATACACAGAGCAGGAAGGACAGTATATAAATCCAGTAAATAAATAATAAACACATTTTGACCATGGGTGGGATTCGCCCAAGGTCCCAAGTCCTAGCATTGGGTTGGTTTTATTAAATGAGCCCAGCTCCTGCCATTGCTAAAGCAGAATTTACGGCTCAGCCGGTTGTGTGAACCAACCAACTGTAATTTATTCAACGAAATAAAAGAACGGAATCAAAGAGCTGGAAGGGACCCTGGAGGTCTACTAGTCCAACCCCCTGGTCAGGCAGGAAAACCCTATAGCGTTTTAGACAAATGGTTGTAAACAAACCACCGTTATTTTATCATTTTTTAAATTTTTATCATTATTCTCTTTTTTATGTTGTTTTTATTTCCTGTAAGTCGCCATGAATGAATAGGCGGCAATATAAATTTCCCAAACAAATCAATCGATCAATCAATCTAATGCAGCAAAGGAAGTCAACCGAATAGGTGATCTGGCTTTTTCCTGGGATAAATCAAGGGCTTAAAAAGAAGCTGTCACCAGAATTGCTTAGCTGTCAATGGGTCAGAACTGCCTAGCCGTCAACCCCACTTCCTATGGGGAACCCAGCCAAAATTTACTCCTGAATCAGAGGAGCCGTCTCGCCAATCAGCTAGGCACTACACAAGATCAAACATGGTTTAGAAGCGGCACAAGAATTTCCTTGGATGTCCTGCCAGGTTTCTCAACTTTGGCATTGTATGGACTTCAATCCCCAGCATTTCCTCTTATCTCCTTGCAGGAATTCTGGGCGTTGAAATCCACACGTCCTAAAAAGTGGTTGAGGCTGAGAAACACTGGACTACAAGCTCTCCACATAACCAGCTGGGCAAACCGACATTCCTCTTCCTTGGCATGCAGGCCCTCTCCTTACCGAGACCCCGCTCCCATGTGCTCCTTGCTGGCGTCAACCATGGTCTCCGTCATCGTTCATTCCCACAAGACTCTGGTTAATCCCCAAGCCCTCTTCTTCTCCTGATCAAACTTCCCAGACTGGTTTTCTTCGGAGGGACGGTCTCTGAATGTTCTCCTGGAGAAACAGAAGACATCAAACAGATTGAACTCCAGGTTTTCCCAGGTGGAGAAACAATAGCAGCAGCAAAAGACACGTCCGTGGCCCAGGTAAACTAAACAGTGTCCCGAGGAAGGAGTGGCTTATTGGGACAAGTAAACAAATAATTTGCTATCATGGGATGCAGTAAAACTTGCTACCCTTGGGAAAGGAGACAGCTCTCCCCAAATCCATCTGGTATGACTGAAGAATTCTAACGATCAATAGACGAGAATATTTTGTAGCTCAGGGTTGAAATGAAAGGTCTTTGGTGCTCTCTGAGCTTGTAGATGTTTCATTACCCAATGCAGGAAGGAGGAGGAAGAGGAGGAGGAGGAGGAGGAGGAGGAGGAGGA